GGGCCTACCGTCAATCTATTTTCCAAACTCTTCACATTTACCACCTGTTACCTCCCTTCAAAATTCTTCCTGACAGCTCCTTGGAGAAATGGTTGATTCTGGACCTGAGACAGGCAAAATACAAGACATGAGTCTGAAACACCTGGTAATTAATGAAAGAAAGAAAATGCTTTTAAAAAACAGGGAAGTGTCAACAGGACAAAGGAGCCAAAAAAAAAAGCTGGAACAATATGAACAAAATAATCTGTGGCCAGGCACAGTGGCTGACACCTGTAATCCCAGCATTTTGGGGGGCCGAGACAGGACTGCTTGAGCCCAGGAGTTCAAGACCAGCCTGAACAATATTTTATAAAAATATAAAATATTAAAAAGTAAATATCAGCAAGGCTAATGGTGGATTACAACCCAAAGAACAAAATTAATATCCCTGGTCTATAGTGACATAAATGACTGAAAAGAAACAAATGAAAAATACACAAATCTTCCTTACAGAGAATTTATAATACTGTAGAAAGAATGAGGCAAATTTTTTAAAAAATCACCATTAGAACAGTAATACCTGTCTGCAGTAATACCTGCACACAAGATCCATTAAAACGCTAAAATTAAGAAGGGGAACTTTATTTGCATGCCAAAATATTAACAGTAGCTTTAATGTATATCCATAAATTCACATTCTCCTCCTTCTAGAGAAGTAGAGCCTAATTCCCTTCTCTCCTTCAGTGTGAGCTGAACTTAGTGACTAGCATCCAAGAAATAGTATGGAAAGGGGAAAAAATACTAACCTGACAGATACCACCTTAACAAAATCATGAGGTTAAATTCAACCAGTTATATATTATGGACCCCCAATATTACTTGATAAGGGCAACTTCTGTGGTATTCTTCCCCTAAAATCCATAACCAGTCTAATTCTAACATCAAATCCAAATGAGATCAAGTGTTATGGTCATGAAAGACAAAAGGAAAAACAGAAAGTGACACACATCAGGAGACTAAACTAAGGAGACGACATACAATGTGGCATCCTGGACTGGATCTTGGAAAAGAAAAAGGACTTTAGTAGAAAAACTAAGGAAATCCAAATAAAGTCTATCATTGAGTTTACAGTATTTTATCGATGTTAATTTATCAGTTCTGTTCAAAGTACCCTATATAATATGTTAACACCAGATAATAAGTATGTAAGACCTCTCTATTGCAACTCTTCCACAAATTTTATCTCAAAAATACTAAGTTTTTCTGAAAGAAAAAAACTTCAGGAATCAGAATATTTAACTTTTATCTTTTACCTTAGCGTATCCCTTCCCCACTTCAAAGTTAAAACCTACTCAGGTTCATAATTAAAGAAAAATCAATCTTTCTCATCAAGTGAAAAGATATGTTAGTTAATACTGATGTTCATCTGCAAAATTCTTAAATAGATGATCAAGACAGGTGGATATACTCCAGGAAACTCTAGGCAATGTCAGAGTCCAGGAACAAGGGTATAGGCACAGCCAACTGCTTTGCATAAACAACATATGGAAGAAGCCTGCAAGGGCAGGTAGGTGTCACGTTCTTACCTTCCAGATTCAAAATCCCTCTAAGATTTTTTAAGTAAACAGCGGGCTATAGTACGCTGTTAGGTACCACATGCTTTTCGAAACAGTTTAGACAATTCAGTCTCAGAGCCCCAATTCACTTCTTAGTAAAAAGAAAAAAAAAAAAGTTAATACCAAAGATGTGTGAAAGCACTTTCAAAATATGCAAAGGGATACACAAATACATGATGATGCTTTATAAAACCAAGTAAGTTAATATCCACCAAAGATTACATCCCTACAAAGGACTTCTGTGTACCATCCAGGAAGCCACATCTCTCAATCATCTTTAAGTTTTACTTTTTATTAAGTACCTAAGATACAACATGCATACCAAAAACTAAGCAGTATTACATGATAGACTGCCTTCTGACAGAAGAAGGACTCTGTCACAAAGTCACCTCAAGACCTTATTTACTAAGCTACGGGCTGTGAGAGCATTTTTTTTTGAAATTGCTTTCCACCTTGTAAGACAGATTAAGACACTACACATGTGTGTGAATCATTTCTACTCAACCCTATCACCTGCCTTGCAATTTAGCCTTCCCAACTGAAGCCAGATAGGATGTCCAAGAATACCTTTAAAAAAAAGTAAACGGCTGATTTCTGAGATATAAAATTATAAACCTAGTTTGCCACCACATTGTGATCACCAACTACATGTGAGATAACAGTTGCTGAATCTAAATTTAACTCCAGGGCTTGGAAGAGCAGTATTGCACTGCCACAGGTTTTTCCCACTTGCTGTTGACAAACTAATGGGGGACGGGTGCGACTTTTTTTTTTTTTTTGACCTACCTACTTCCACAATTATCCATTCTTCTCTGCAAAGTCAGTAATAGTTTTGTCCAAGGCAGCCAAAGCACAATATAACTAAACAAACAACATACAATGCTTACCTGAATTCTGAAGCCTTAAAAAAAAAAAAAACCAATCAATTTGCAAATGTTAAAAGACCAAGTGGGCAGTTTTATTAGACTGACAAAAATAAAAGAAAAAAAGAAAAAATTGGCTTTAGTCACAAATGTTGGTTTTATGTTAAATTTTATCTTTTAACACTAGCCCCATCAGTCCTAAGGACCCTATATAATTCACGAACTTTTACAAAAACGTAAAACTGCCTTCGGTCGTTTACTTTCTATGCAAATACTACAATGAGTTGGGTGGAGGGAACCCTAACATAAGTTACAAAAAAACTGCTCTAAGTAGGTCACAAAGAAACATGACCAAAATCTCCTAATGTTCCCCTGGTGGACTGTCAGGAGAGAACAGCAAACTGAGTTAAAGAACAAAGAATTGGCTACTTTTCTACCTGTAAGAGGTACAAAAGCTTAGACTTTTCCACCGGTAAGCGCTCCAACAAAACTAACATATGACTTGGTGGGGATGTAGGGCAGCCCAAGCCTTACGTTACCACAATTTGCTTCCATTCACTTGTTCCTGATAAAGGAATGCACAAGTGAGCAGTTGGAGCACCAACCTGTGAAATAATCCCATAATTTTCATACTGCTGACCAAGTGATAACCATTTGCCTGAGGCCAAGAAGTTATTATTTTTTAATATTTTAAATAGAAACGAACAAAATATTCCCTCAGTAACAGGTAAGATAATTTCATTCTATATTACCTCTAGCAGTAATAAAATTAACTGGACTCGAGCTTAAACTTAGTTTAAATGTAGGTAATTCTGTTGTTCCATTTGACAGCCTAAATTGTTCATCTTTAAGTATAAGTTAAAATGTTAATTCAATAGTTAACCAGTATCTAAGGGCAGGTAACTGGAATTGCTAAACCAGGCAAGTTCCCCAAGTAAATGTTACTTGGAACATTGTTATATTTTAATGCTGTTATAGAAGCATGTTTATAGAAAGGGTTTCTAGAACATGTTTACAGAAATGTTTATGTTTATAGAAGTGTTTCTATAACATAGAAACATTTATTTCACTAAGCCAAGGAGTATGCTGGCTTTCAAATAATCTAAAATATGTTAACTCTACTAGAAAAATATAAACTCAAGTCCCTGAATAAATGGAGTGTAGACAAACTTTCATCCACAGAGCTCGACTGACACACGTGTTTTTTCCAACACATTTCCAACAACAGTAATTCATCAAGCGTGACTCGCGCCACACAGATCAAAAGTCTACCGTAACTGGGCACTAGACTTTTCATTCCAATTCCATATTTTAACCCACAGATGCTGGTGAGATTTGAAACTCGTCGCTTTGTACCTCATTTCCTTCAACTATAATCTTCTCAAGGTCTTTCTCCAAAAGACTCCTCCAAATTAAAAAAAAGGCAGAGAAAAAAAGATTCAATGTCTAAAACTGGAGCCTAACTCCCGGCTGGCGGGAATTTCCCATCACCAATCTGAGTTTCAAATCAGACGAAGAACACAATCCACGTTCATTTGCACTTACTCAGTCTTTTTCCCTGCTTTTTTCCAGAAGCTACTGTGACGGCACATCTACCCACAGCCTACACGAATACACGTAGAAAGCAAGCCCAAACCGTTCTCCTTTGTCACATTCCCACTTCCAACTCTTGTCTCCCTGGAAGCCCAGAACTCGCCAAGTACAAATGCCGCGGCAGCCTTCTCGGCAGGTGGCCTTTTGAGCTGATGCTGCCACCAGAGACAAGGGCTCTGGGGACAAAGAATAAAACAGGCTTGGAAGGCGGGTGGGGGGCCTGTGAGTCGGAGGGCCCGGCATCCCCGCCCTTCCCGTGCGAGCCTGTGACCCCGCTCTCCAGCCCCTCGCCTCGGGCCGCTGCGGAAGGATGGCCGTACCTACCTCGCCGGCTCCCTGTGAGAATCAAATGAAACGCAGAAAAGTGGCTCCGCACAGTGCCAGGCACACAGTGAGGGCGCGGAAAAAACATTCGTTGTTACTATCACTCCGTGCACTCGCTACTCCCTCTTTCCTCCCTGCAAAACCGAGGGCACTTCTGCTTCGGGGGCCGCAAGACTCCAATCAGACTTTAGTGCTGCTCCCATCCCTCAACGAAAGCCTCCTTCTGGTCCGGACCGACTGGACCCCTCCGCCAAGGGAGGAAAAAGACTCCGCGGGCGCGTGGCGAGGGGGTGGCGGGCGGGAAACGCTGGGCGCGGGGACCCTGGCCCCCGAGACCGCCCTGGGGCCCGGGCGGCGGCCGCGGCTCACTCCCGCCCCGCGTGGCCGTTGGACGCAACACGCGCACGCGGCGGGCACGGCCACGCGCCCTAGCCAGGAGGGGAGGGGGAGCGGGGAGCCGCCGCGCGCCCGTCCGTTCGCCGCGCGCGCCTGCAGCCATTGGGGTGGGGGTGGGGGACGCGCCTGGCGCGGCCGCCGGGAACACCACTCAGACTTCTCCCTCTCACAACTGCTGCCACTTGGCTGCGTCCTCGGGCTTCCCTGCCCCGCCCACACACTGGCGTACCTGCGCGGCTAAGCTGGAGTGGAACTAGCTCTGCTCCACAGCACTGAGGATGGCAGAAACCCCTCACGCAACTGCGTCCGCACACACGCGTGCTCCGCCGCCGGTGTATATAACCGCCACTCACCCTAACTTGTTGCGGCAAGGTTGGGCGAGGGGATGACCAATCCCGACCGCGTCCTCCGCGCTCTTCGAACAGCAATTGGGCACTGACTCGGGATGAAGGCGTGGCTCTTGATTGGCTTTGACTCATGCCTATGAGACTGTGAGGATCTCGTTTCCCTAGTAACAGATTGGCGCTAAGAGACACCAATAACCGAAAAGTACAGTGGAAAGGCGGGTGAGCAGTTCTTTGACTGATACCCAAAGTAGCCAATAAATGGGCGGGACTGCTCTTATTCGTTAACGCGTCCTCCCCTGGGCGGAGATCCGTTTTCCATGCAGGAGCGGTTGCTCCACAAGGTGGGGCCCGTGTACTTTGGGGAAGTAAACCCCAAGCAACTAGGAGGCGGGCGCCCGAGAAGCCAAGAAAGCCTGTGGCCAATCGCAACGCCGGAAGGAGCTGATTGACACGGAGGTTGCGCTGCTGGGAAGAGACCAAGCCCTAGGGCCGCCGTTCCCTTTGGGCGGTTGTGAGGCTGTGTAGGCTGCGGCTTCTGCCCTCATTTCTTTCTTTCCCTTACTTATTGGGTCTGGCCTCTGAGGCCCCTACCCCGCCTTTTCAGCACAATTTGGTACCTGGGGAGCCAAGTGGCAAAGTCTCCTGGGTTGCTTTCTTCTTTTTTATTACAACTTTTTTCTTCCGTGCGGCGGCCGAGAGCCTTGCTTGCTCTCACCATTACTCAGCACTGCTGCGGGGCAGCGGGAGGAGAGTCGCTCCCGCGCCGTTCCCCCGGGCGCTTCAGGGCGGGCGCTGCGGAGCGGCCGCGGGCGCGTGGCGAGGCTCCCCTTGTGGCGGCTGAGGCACGGTAGTCCCTGCGTCCTCCGGTGGAGTTTGGGCCCTCGCGCCACGTCCCGAGCCGCGCCAATATTGACAGCCTCGAATTGCCGCGGTTTGGGGTTTATTCTCGTCGCTACGCCTTTAAAGGGCAACTCGTCCGCTCCGTCTGGCGTCTCGGGCATTGGCGGGGCTGAGTCTCAAGGCTGGCCAGGCCCTCTGGGACGCCGTGGGCATATTCTGTGGAAATAGCTTTGGTTCTCAGCCGTCGGGCACAGGCACGCCCCGGTTTGTTCTGGTTCCAGGCTTGTGACCAGGCGGGAGGGTCTCCAGCGGAGTTTTGCTGAGAATTTTGGAAATGAAACACGTGGAGCCCCGGGGCGGGGGGGGAAGGGGGGAGCGAGCCGAAGGAGCTCGGGCGCCGGCCGCAGCCTGGGGGGAGCCGGGCACACTCACCTCTTTGCGCGGGACTAGCACGAGCCTGAAACTCGGGAGGCCCAGGAGGCGAAGTGAAAGTCCCTTCTGGTCCCTCAGGGCCCCACTCCCGCAGCAGCCGGGCTCCGTCGGCGTCGGTGGAGCCCCAGGCCTGAGTCTGAAATGAGCTTCCAGCCTTACGGTTGCCCGGGCGCTCCCAAAACCAGGGAACGGGCCCCAGGAGACAAACCATTGTAAGTTTCCTGGAGTAGGGAACCTCCAAGATCCTGTGAGCCCTACAGAGGAATCTGGCCTTTATTCTGAGGGCCGTGGAAAGTTTTTTAAAAGGTAGACTAAGAGATTGGCATTTCACAACATGACTCTCCAAATGGAAAAACTAAGATTGGCGAAATTTAACATTTACAGATTAGTAATTTAACCCAGGTGACTCGCGATGAAAGACATGGCTACTCTTCACTTTCAGAGGGAGTTTTAAGTGATGAAGAGCTTTTTGCCAGCAATTTTTTTTTTTTTTTGAGATGGAGTCTCGCTCAGTCACCCAGACTGGTGTGCAGTGGTGCCATCTCGCTTCCCAGGTTCAAGTGATTCTCCTGCCTCAGCCTCCCAAGTAGCTGGGATTACAGATGCGTGCCATCATGCCTGGCTAATTTTTGTATTTTTAGTAGAGACGGGGTTTCACAATGTTGGTCAGGCTGGCCTCGAACTCCTGGACTTCAGGTGATCTGCCTACCTCGACCTCCCAAAGCGTTAGGATTAACAGGTGTGAGCCACCGCGCCCAGCAGCAATTTAAATATCTAGTAAAATTATGTCTATCCTCAAAACAATAATGTCACTTCTTGGTTGATAGCCACATTTGTTTAGAAAGACATGTACCAAGATTTTCACTGCAGCTTTGTCAGCGTTGTTAAAATACATAAAAACAGAACACTTAATGTTTATCAATTGATAAGCTGTTTGACAGAGATATACACGTAATATAGAATATTAAGCAGCAGGCCGGATGCAGTGGCTCAGGCCTGTAATCTCAGCATTTTGGGAGGCGGAGGTGGGTGGATGGATCACTTGAGGTCAGGAGTTTGAGCGATCAGCCTGAGCAACATGCGAAACCACCCCATCTACAAAAAAAAAAAAAAAAAAAAAAAAATTCCAAAATTAGCCAGGAATGGTGGTACACGCCTGTAATCTCAGCATCTTGAGAGGCTGAGATGGGAAGATCATATGAGCTCAGAAGGCAGAGGTTGCAGCGAGTGGAGATCTGTACTCCAGCTTGGGCACCAAAGTGAGACTCTCAAGAAAAAAAAAAAAATTCTTCTTTAAAAAGAAAAAACTCTGCAAAGCGTTACTAATAGTCATTGCAGCATTATTTGTAGTAGAAAGGCAGAAAACAACCGAAATATCTGGCTGTATGATACTGGTTAGATACAGTACTACAAAACAGTATTCTTATAGTAGACTGTCATGCAACCATACAGAAAATGAGGTAGATCTACTTGTATAGTTATCAAGCAGTCTCCAAGAGATAATCAGTAAATGAAGGAAGCGAAGTGCAGAATAATGAGAAAAGTATGCCTGGATTTGTATAATGAAGAGGGATAGCAGGGGATGATTATGTCTGTTAAAACGTATGTATTGCTTTAGTTATCTACACTACACGTTTGTTCTCATGTTTTTGCTGTTATACGTGCAAGGTTATGTCTGGAAGGAGTCACCAGAAAATGTTAGTGAATATTAATAGTTATTAATAGGGACAAACTTTGGCTAGGGCAGCAGAAAGTCTTAGTTTTCATTCTATACACCATAGTACTGTGTGATTTTTTTCTTCTTTTTTTTTTTTTCTTTTTTTTTGAGATAGGGTCTCACTGTCACCCAGCAGGAGTTCAGTGGCACAATCATAGTTCACTGCAACCCCGAACTGTTGGGCTCAAGCAGTTCTCTAGCCTCAGCCTCTGCAGTAGCTATAGGCATCATCATACATAGCTAATCTTTTTTGTAAAGACAGGGTCTCACTTTTTTACCAGGTTGATGTCAAACTCCTGGCCTCAAGCAGTGCTCCTGCCTCAGCCTCAAAGTGTTGGGATTACAGGTGTGAGCCACCATGCCTGGCTGTGTGATTTTTTTAAACATGTCTGTATTATTTTAATTAGTGTTAAGTAGATTTTAATCGTGATATGAAGAACTATAATATAGAAATTTTGATCTTTAAAAGGGATGTAATATATTAGCCCTTGCAGGTAGGTATATGAGAGGGGTGTTTTGGGGGGGTTTTCTTGTTTTTGAGACAGGTTCTTGCTCTGTCATCCAGGCTGAAGTGCACTAGCAAGATCACAACTTACTTCACTCTTAACCTTCTGGGCTCAAATGATCCTCCTACCTCAGCTTCCCAAGCAGCTGGGACCACAGGTGTGTATCACCAAGCGCGGCTAATTTTTAAAAATTTTGTAGAGATAAGGTATCACTGTGTTGCCCAGACTGGTCTCAAACCCCAGACTCAAGCTATCCTCCCACCTCAACCTCCCAAAATGCTGGGACTACAGGTATGAGCCACTTCACCCAGCCTTACAAGAGGTTTTGAAAATGAGGCATCCACATTTTAATTCACCTCCTCTGAAAAGTGCTAACCTCTTTTTCTTTTGCTCCTTACCATGCAAAGATCATATAAAGATTCAGGCTGGGTGCAGTGGTTCATGCCTGTAATCCCAGCACTTTGGGAAGCCGAGGCGGATGGATCACCTGAAGCCAGGAGTTCAAGACCAGCCTGGCCAACATGGTGAAACCCTACTTCTACTACAAATACAAAAAATAGGCGCCTGTAGTCACAGCTACTCAGGAGGCTGAGGCAGGAGAATCGCTGCAACCCAGGAGGCAGAGGTTGCAGTGAGCTGAGATCATGCCACTGCACTCCAGCATGGGCAACAGAGCAAGACTCCGTCTCAAAAAAAAAAAAAAAAAAGTCATGCAAAGATCCAAAGAGTCCCTTTACTGGCTTAGAAAGACATACCAGTTGGATTCCTCCTTCCTTTGGTAAATACATAACCTCCTCAGACTCTGTGGAGCATTGACCATGAGCCGGGCACCTTGCTAATATTCTTTCCAAGAACAATCTTGTTTAATATTCACAACATCCCTGTTTGCTATTTCTCAAGTACAAAAACAGATTCAAAGAGGTAAACAACTTGCCTTTGGTCACATAGCTAAGGCTAGAAGCTAGGACTCTGACTTCGGGTCCATGTTCTTTTACCCACTGTCAATACTCTCTAGGGAAGTAAGATACAGTTATGAATACAGAAAAGGGCATAGTCTTCTCAAAAACCCCTGAAAAACTGGGGCTTTTCCTCCATTGTCTCAGGCATGACACCAGATAATGCTGCATAGACAAATTTCCAAGTTATTTGAGAGTTCTGGAGTCCATGGCAAATCCTGATAATCTGCAGCCAAAGCTCTTTGCAAAAAGCCTTTGCTGCACACTGGTACACATGCTATATATAAGTCCTCACTTCCTGTGGCTTAGAAGAAGGATAAATAACATAGCATGTATATCAAGCACCTATTGTGTGACAGGCACAGTGGTAATTACAGTTTTTCAAGTCATCCTTAGAAAAACCCTATGAAGTATTAACTCTTACAGATGTAGAAACTATGGCTCAGAAAGGCTAAATGACTGGCTAATAGCTGGAAAGTGCCAGGGCTCAGAATCAGACTCAGGTTTATAGCACCTGAAACTCAAAGCCCAATAAGG